GAAAGTGTTAGGCTTACGCCTAGTGAGTCCAAACAATACGATAAGTGTAATTATAAAACCCTTTATGCAAAAAAAGAATGAACGTGTTAATATAGATATCGAAGCTTTAAACGATTACAAAAGGTAGGAAGGTCTTAAATAATACGTGTGAGGGTCAAAACATCCGAAGATGATGGGGGAGACCCGGTTTACCGTTGATTTGTGACGGAACATGAAGTAAGTCATAGATCAACGTTATAGAGCATCACTTACAGGTTCAACACCATTGACATCAACCTAGCCAGTCATGTAGTTGGTCGTGATCTTAAGCTATTTACCTTGAAAATTACATAATGATCTCTATGCCTATTTCCGAGTGGAAATATGAAGGTGGATTTGGAAGTTACATAATAATCACAATGCCTAAATCCAAATCAAAAATCAACCCTTTCACATAGTAAAATAAATCGACTTCCGAGTCCATACTACTTAACACTCTGAGTATAGGTTTTTTAGGCAATAATCTAAGTCTAAGGAAAGAATTGCCAATTACATCCTCAAATAATCTCTAAGGTAATACAACACTTCCTTGCAAATAGAGAGTAATTCCATGCGACGATTTATAAAGGCCTCTATGTTTATTTTCTTTTGGCGGTTAATAATTATATCAAATACTTCCTAAAGAAATTAAGTCATTAAAACTCATGCCACTATTGTCGACGGGATTCCTAAGTTATGACTCGACATCTATAATTCATCTAAAACAATAAGTTTAAGGCACTAGAGTATTTGGCACATAAAACATATCATCGATTTAAATATAAAGTCAAGACGGTATAGGTCGAGCTCACCAAGTAGGATTTAGGAGAAATCCAATTCTTGACTAGTAGGTGGATGAAAGTAGGACCAAAAAAGAAGGGTTGTCCCTTTCCCAAAGAGGCAGCAGCAGGAGAAGTCGAAGGGGGAAATAAGGGTGAAGGTTGCCTGGTGCGGCACCACAGCGCAGGCTGCCTGGTGTGGCACAGCTGGAGGCGAATACAGTCGCGATCAGGTAAAGGGTCAGCAACAGACACGGCTGTACGTGCGAAGATCGTCACGAGCAGGTACAGGGACAGTCATGAGCAGAAAACCCAAGTCACAGTCGCTGCACACAGAAACACGGGACGTCGACAACATGCAGATCGGATGAAAAACGACATCTGTGTGCAAAAGCATGGAACAGCACTGCGTGCTAATTGGAAGGAGGTATCGATTGTGTGTAGATGCATGGGACAGCATTGCGTGCAGGTCGAAAAGGAGCAGCGGCTGAGTGCAGGAGGCGAGATGGCAACCGTGTGAAGATCTGAGTAAAACACGGTTCACAGTAGCTAAGGGGAAAGTCGTGGCCGGAGCAAGGATGGTCAGCGCCGGTAGCAAAAATCTTACTAAGAAGGGTCTAATTAAAATTGGAGGTGAGACCACTCTTTCTCTCTTTTCCTCTTCGATCGACAGTCCCCCAGAAGCTCTTCTATCCCTCCCAACTACCACCTGCCAAAAGGACTCCCTTCTCCCCAAATAATGTCCTTCCATCATCCCCCCAAGGTAAAGTTAGCAAGCATGAACCCAAAAACAAAAAGGGAAAACTTTCCAAGAGAAGTGACTAATGGTTTGGGGCAATGCACAGGAGGTAACACCCCCCCCCCCTTTTCCTTTTTTTACCCCTTAAACCTAGACAAAACAATTTAACCAAAAAAAAAAAAAAAAAATCCCTTCCTTCACTTGTAGGACTAGTTAGAAAAAAATTATTAAATTTCTACTATGCAATACGCATATAAAAAGAATACATATATATAAGGAAGGACACATACCTTGCAAAATTTGGGATGGGAGAAATCCCGATGTGAAAGGAATGGAGAATGAGGAAGGAGAAGAAAATTCCAAGGTGTTACAATTCTCCCCACCTTGGATTTTATTTCGTCCTCGAAATTAGAGTTCACGCGAATAGGTGGGGGTAGCGCCTCTTCAAGTCCTCTTCCGATGATGCTTCCATTTTACCTTGACCATGACGACCTCTCTGTGTCTCAACACCTTGATCTTGCTTTCCAAGATAGCTTCCGGTTCTTCCACGCATCGATTGTTCTCATCAACACGAATTTCCGAAAATGGTATCATACTTTCTTCTTCTGCCAAGCACTTACGAAGGTAACAAACATGAAATGTGTCATGGATACCGGCCATTTCTGGGGGTAGCTCTAATTTATAAGCTTGGAGCCCCACCCCAGCCAAAACTTTAAACGGTCCGAGAAAACGGGGACTGAGTTTCCTGTGCTTTCCAAAATGGATGACGCCTTTCCAAGGAGATACTTTTAGCATAACATGGTCGCCCACTTGGAATTCTATAAGTCGGCTCCTCTTATCTGCGTAACTCTTTTGTCGATCCTGAGCTGCCTTTAAGCGCTCCCGTATGCACTTCACCTTTTTGGCCGTTTCCTGCACGATCTCGGGACCGGCGAATTGTTTCTCACTTGCTTCTAACCAACAAACCGGAGTCCTACATTTTCGTCCGTACAAGGCCTCGAAAGGTGCCATCCCTATACTGGAATGGTAACTATTGTTGTAGGCGAACTCCACAAGGGGGTAGGTGAGAGCCCCAATTCCCGCCAAAGTCGATAACACATGATCTAAGCATGTCTTCTAGGGTTTGAATGGTCCGCCCGCTCTGACCATCGGTTTGAGGATGGTAAGCTGTACTCAGCTTCACCCTCGTGCCCAACTCTTTCTGTAAGCTGCCCCAGAAATGGGAGGTGAATCGGCTATCTCGACCTGACACTATCGACAACGGTATACCGTTCTGCGAGACTACTTCATCGATGTATAAATTGGCAATGACTCGCGCATGGCCAAGAAGTGAGCGCTTTTTGTCAGCCGATCAACCACTACCCATATTGTATCATGGCCCCTTAAGGTTTTTGGCAGTTTGGTCACAAAATCCATTGTAATGTGCTCCCACTTCCACTCGGGGATCTCCAGGGATTGAAGGCTACCATAAGGTCGTTGGTGTTCCTCTTTCACTTGTAAACAAGTCATGCACCTCTTTACGTAACGAGCCACATCCAGTTTCATGACAGGCCACCAATATGTCAATTTCAAGTCCCGATACATCTTGGTACTGCCCGGATGAATTGAGTACTTAGACCTGTGAGCGTCTTCTAGAAGTAGTTCACGATTGCCTCCAATTTTGGGTACCCATATACGCCCTCGAAATAACCTCAAGCCACGACCATCCTCTGTCAGCAGTAAGTGTTGTCTCAACATTACCTCATTTTTTAGGTTTTCTTCTAGAAGTGCCTCGGATTGTGCCACTTTGATCCGATCAATCAGATCGGACACCAAAACGATCCTGGTAAGTACGGCTTTTGTCCCACTACCGTACTCCTTTCGACTCAAAGCGTCTGCCACCACATTTGCTTTTCCCGGATGGTAAAGCAGTTCACAATCGTAGTCTTTGAGTAGCTCGAGCCAACGCCGTTGCCTCATGTTTAATTCCTTTTGATCGAAAATGTACTTCAAACTCTTGTGATCAGTGAACAACGTGCACTTGGTAGCATAAAGGTATGTCGCCAAAGTTTTAAGGCGAACACCACAGCCGCTAATTCCAAGTCATGAGTGGGGTAATTCTTGTCGTGGTCTTTGAGTTGTCTTGATGCGTAGGCAATCACCTTTCCTCTTTGCATCAAGACGCAACCCAACCCCATTTTCGATGCGTTGCTAAAGACTACGAAGTCTTCGTATCCCTTCGGTAGGGAGAGAATTGGGGCTTCACATACTTTCTTTTGGAGGGTTCTGAAGGCGTTCTCCTGTTTCTCAGTCCAGATAAACTTCACATTCTTCCGTGTCAACACCGTTAAGGAAGAAGCGACCTTGGAGAAATCTTGGATAAATCTCCTGTAATAACCCGCCAGGCCTAAGAAACTTTGGATTTCTGTTGGGCTCTTTGGTGGTTCCCAGTTCATCATCACCTCGATCTTGGATGGGTCTAACTTCACCCTGTCTCGAGTGACTATGTGACCTAAGAATTGAACCTCTTCCAACCAAAAGTCACACTTGGAGAATTTTGCATACAATTTCTCCTTCCTTAAAATCTCGAGGACCTCCTGAAGATGTTTCTCATGATCCGACCCATTCTTGGAAAAAATGAGAATGTCGTCAATGAATACTATTACTGACTTGTCGAGGAATGGTCGGCACACCCGGTTCATCAGGTCCATGAATACCGTCGGCGCATTCGTCAATTCGAAAGGCATGACCAAGAATTCATAGTGCCCATGACGCGTTCTAAAAGCTGTCTTTGCCACATCATCTTCTTTCACACGTACCTGGTGATATCCCGAACGAAGATCGATCTTTGAGAAGCAACAGGCTCCCTGAAGTTAGTCGAAAAGGTCGTCGATAGTTCTCGATAGTTAATACACATTCTCATGGTGTCGTCCTTCTTCTTTACAAATAAGACTGGAGCTCCCCAAGGTGACGAACTCGATCTAATGAATCCTTTCTCAATAAGGTCTTTCAATTGAGACATCAACTTTTGCATCTCGGAAGGAGCTAATCGATAAGGGGCCCTAGCAAGTGGAGCGGTTCCCGGTACAAGGTCGATTTGGAACTCCACTTGTCTAACGGGTGGTAAACCGGGTAAGTCTTCAGAAAATATGTCAATAAACTCGTTGACCACTTTCACATCCTCAAACTTCTTTTTTTCTAGCTTGGCATCCAACACGTACGCAAAGAATGAGGGACATCCCTTAGTTAAGCATTTGCGCGCCTTTGTCATGGATAAGAGTTCTACGTCTCCCTTCCTTCTTTCTCCATATTCTAGCACTGTGTCCCCGTCCGGTAAAAGAATTCGAATCAATTTCTTAGAACATAAGATTTCCTCTTGGTCCTTTACTAACCAGTCCATTCCAATTATGATGTCAAATCCGCTGATAGTCATGGGTATAAGGTCTACCCGAAATTCTTTTCCTTTGATTCCCAAAACGCAACTCCTAACTAATAACCTCACGCGCCATAACTCTACTACCATTTGCTAACTCAATGATCAAAGAAATTTCTAGAGTACTAGGAGGCGTAAATAAGAGTGGGTAGAATGTGGTGGACACAAAAGAACAAGAAGCACCTGAATCAAAAAGTACGTGAGGAGGTACGGAGTTAACAAGGAATGTACCCGAGACCACATCCGACGATGCTTTGGCTTCCTCTGCTGACATCTGAAAGGCTCGGCCGGTCACCTTCGGGGAGTTTTCTTTCTTTCCCTGGCCCCCACCCGCCTTCAACTTCGGACAGTCATTCCTAAAGTGACCCGGTTCTCCGCATCCAAAGCAGATGGGTCCTTTGATAGGGCACTCATTTCGCGCGTGACCTGGTTTCCCACATTTAAAACATTTTGCGGGAGTATAGTTGGTGGTGCATGGGCCATGGTGTTTAGTGCGGCACTTGGAGCACCACTTAGCCTCTTGCCTAGAATAAACTCCCCGATTGTTGTTGTTGTAATGACTTGGTCTCTTGGAAGGCGCGTAATGACCTTCCCATTCTTTTTTCTCACCACTTGCCATCTTTTCTTCTCTTCCTTTAGTGTAAACCGTTTCCATGACTTTTGCTTCCTCAATTGTCTCCCTAAGGGTGGAAGCCCTGGCGTTCCTAACCATAACCATCATGTCTATGGGCAATCCTTTCAGATAGGCTTTCATTTTTTCTTTTTCCGTTGAAGCCACATGCCCCACTAAATTCAGTTTTTCCATGAAAAGTCGCGTGTAGTCCCTTACTGACAAGTTTCCTTTCTTAAGTGTTCAGAACTCTTCTTCAATGCGATCCATCTCTTGTTCATTGCAATATTCCTCCAATACCTACTCCCTAAACGTGGTCCAACTCATCTTGGCTAGTTCTTGCACCTCTATGGTTGATATAACAATGTTCAACCTCGTAAGGGCCGCACCCCTTAGCATTTGAGAGCCAAAATTCGCCTTTTGCCCTTCTTCATAGTCACACGCCCGGAAGGCCTGTTCAATCTCTCGAAGCCAGTTCATGCATGCCACGGGATCATCTGACCCCACAAATGTCGGTGGTTTACAACTCAAGAATGTCTTGTAGGAGCAAACTCTTCCCACATGTCTTGCATCGATCGCTGCTAGCTCTTGAGTTGGGATTCTATTTTCGGTACCCCCAGATCCCATGATGGTTACGTTCTTGGTGACCTCTTCATGTTTACGATTGTTGCCGCCTCTATCCTCTAACAACTTCATAAAGAACTCTTGTTGTTGGGCCATTGCTGGCGTTCATCATTGTGCCCAACATTCTTGACTCGGGGGTTTCCTCTTCTATAACGGGATTAGAGGTGGCAAGGTTAACTTGGGAAACATGGTCAATTCCGCCGCCCAAAGTGTTTTGTCTAGGATGTACCCTTGCTATTACGGTCTGTGGCGGTTGATCCGCGGTTGATTCAGTTACCGCATGACCTTCCGATGAAGTATCTCGCCTACTCCGAGTATTCACCATTAAGGCTACTAAACAAGAGAATGAAGGGCGTCAGGATAGAAAACATACGAAACTGACATAATCATAAATTCTTTTAATAACAGTGAATTCAAGTACACGAATGTAACAACGTACTCAAAATGACATTAGCTAAGTGAAATTTTGAATAGGTTATACATAAGGGTCCCCAACACCATCACCACAGTTCATGAATTATGCAACTCCGTTGACTCTAAAAATTTCCTATCTCACCATTTCCACTCGCATCGCACAAATTAGCACTTACAATAACATCTTAAGTCTATGCGTCTTAATTCATACCTAGTTCGCTTAAACTAGGGCTCTAATACCAACTTGTAACACCATAAATATATATATATATAGCATAACGAGGGATGAGATAATCATAACCATCAAAATCCAACGAACAAAAATTTCTCAACAGTTTAAAAGAGTAAAATCACCCAACAAAGGAGAGGAGTTAAGCGTTGACAAAAAAATGAGACGGTAATTAACAACTTACAAATCTAGTAGCTCTATGTCTAGATTAAGGACGGGTGTTTCTACCATCTCCAACAAAATGGATATCAACCAAACAACGCTCGAAACACCAAGTGCTTTGACTACAAAAATGACTTTTACGAAACAATACACTTCTCAACCCTTCGATACCCCGCCGCTAAAGGAACCTGATAAGCAAACCATTTCAACAAAGTGTTAGGCTTACGTCTAGTGAGTCCAAACAATATGATAAGTGTAATTTAAAACCATTTATGCAAAAAAAGAATGAACGTATTAATATAGATATCGAAGCTTTAAACGATTACAAAAGCTAGGAAGGTCTTAAATAATACGTGGGAGGGTCAAAACATCCGAAGATGACGGGGGAGACCCGGTTTACCGTTGATTTGTGACGGAAGACGAAGTAAGTCATAGATCAACGTTACAGAGCATCACTTACAGGTTCAACACCATTGACATCAACCTAGCCAGTCATGTAGTCGGTCGTGATCTTAAGCTTTTTACCTCGTAAATTACATAATGATCTCAATGCCTATTTCCGAGTGGAAATATGAAGGTGGATTTGGAAGTTACATAATAATCGCAATGCTTAAATCCAAATCAAAAATCAACCCTTTCACATAGTAAAATAAATCGACTTCTAAGTCCATACTACTTAACACTATGAGTATAGATTTTTTAGGCAATAATCTAAGTCTAAGGAAAGAATTTCCAATTACATCCTCAAATAATCTCTAAAGTAATACAACACTTCCTTGCAAATAGATAGTAATTCCATGCGACGATTTATAAAGGCCTCTACGTTTATTTTCTTTTGGGGGTTAATAATTATGTCAAATACTCCCTAAAGAAATTAAGTCATTAAAACTCATGCCACTATTGTCAACGGGATTCCTAAGTTATGACTCGACATCTATAATTCATCTAAAACAATAAGTTTAAGGCACTTGACTATTTGGCACATAAAACACATCATCGATTTAAATATAAAGTCAAGACGGTATAGGTTGAACTCACCAAGTAGGGTTTAGGAGAAATCCAATTCTTGACTAGTAGGTGGATGAAAGTAGGACCAAAACAGAAGGGTTATCCCTTTCCCAAAGAGGCAACAGCAGGAGAAGTCGAAGGGGGAAACAAGGGTGAAGGCTTCCTGGTGCGGCACCGTAGTGCAGGCTGCCTAGTGCGGCACAGCTAGAGGCGGAGACAGTCGCAATCAGGTAAAGGGTCAGTAGCAGACACGGCTGTATGCACAGACATTGTCACGAGCAGGTATAGGGACACTCGTGAGCAGAAAATGCGAGTCACAGTCGTTGCGTGCAGAAACATAGGACGGCGACAGCATGCAGATCGGACAAAAACGACATCTGTGTGCAGAAGCACAGAATAACACTACATGCTAATCGGAAGGAGGTAGCGACTGTGTGGAGATGCACGGGACAGCACTGTGTGCAGGACGGAAAGGAGCAGCGGCTGAGTGCAGGAGGCGAGATGGCAACCATGGGAAGATCTGAGTAAAACACGGTTCACAGCAGCTAAGGGCAAAGTCGTGGCCGGAGCAAGGGCAGTTGGCGCCGGTAGCAGAAATTTTACTAAGAAGGATCTAATTAAAATTGGAGGTGAGACCACTCTTTTTCTCTTTTCCTCTTCGATCGACAGTCCCTCATAAGCTTTTCTATCCCTCCCAACTACCCCCTGCCAAAAGGACTCCCTTCTCCCCAAATACTGTCCTTCCATCATCCCCCCGAGGTAAAGTTAGCTGGCATGGACCCAAAAACAAAAGGGAAAACTTTCCAAGGGAAGTGACTAATGGTTCGGGGCAATGCACAGGAGGTAACCCCCCCTTTTCCTTCTTTTACCCCTTAAACTCAAACAAAACAATTTAACCAAAAAAAAAAAGAATCCCTTCCTTTGCTTGTAGGACTAGTTAGAAAAAAAAGTTATTAAATTTCTACTATACAATACGCATATAAAAAGAATACATATAAATATAAGGAAGGACGCATACCTTGCAAAATTTGGGATGGGAGAAATCCCGATGTGAAAGGAATGGAGAATTAGGAAGGAGAAGAAAATTCCAAGGTGTTACAGACCAGATTGTAGATCTTGACTTTTCCTTTCTTCATCTCCTTCAAGTTCTTAATTGAAAATATTAGATCTGCCATGGATTATTGAGCTTTATTGAAGATTGATCAACATATTGGGACAACAGGATAAGGGTGTCATATCAAGGAGAGGTGTACCTTTGGATATAAGGGTGGCATTTGTATGTGTGTTATGTGATATGATTGTTACTATTATATTATTTAAGATTACTGTGGTTTTGAGTCCTTATTACTTTGTGATTTAAATATTCAAGATTATGGATCTTATTGGAAATCGTAGTATGGATGTTGTTGAGGGAAATGATATCTGGTTTATGGCCTGAAGCTATGAATAATCCTTGTTATTGATAATAAAGATTTAAGAGTGGTTTTATGCGAAACCCAGCAGATCCTAACCTGTTTAGTTTGAGTATGATATTGGTTGAGCCGAGTAATTGACTTTGGAAATTGGTAGGTATGGGTATTATGGATTAGATGTTCATATATTTGTTATATATTAAAAGTTAATTTTAAATAAAGTTTTGGTGATTTTCACCCTGCAATGACATAGAAAAAGGGATCTCACTAGACCTTCTCGTCTAACCTTCATTTTGTGGTTTAAATATGTATTGTAAGGGGAAGGGTAAAATGTGATATTTTCCTATATGCGTAATTTTGTGAGAATCAGTCTTTGTTGTATCTAGTTTTTGGTAGATGAGCGTTGATTAGTACAAGAAATGTATTTTGAATTTTTGGACTATGTATCCAGTAAGTTATGTATTTCTTGTACTTAGGACCTAAGTGGTGTATAAACATGTATTTCTTGTAAATGAAGTATATATTACGTGCAATGTGTATTGTGGGGTGGTACAATGTTGAAAGTCTCTCCATGGGAGGGTGTTGTCAGATTTGGTAAGAGAGGTAAGCTCAGTCCGAGGTAGATTGGGCTGTTGAGAATTTGCAAAACGGGTCGGATTGGTTGCGTATTTGTTAGAGTTACCCAAAAAGCTTAGTTTGATTCATAACACTTCCCATGTTTCTAACTTGGGAAAGTGTTTAGTAGATTTGAGTCTGGCAGTACCGTTACTAGAGGTAAAATTGGATAACAAGCTGAACTTTGGGGAAACACCTGAAGCCGTCACTGATTAGAAAACGAAAGTGTTGAGGAACAAAGAGATAGATCTTGGAATTGAAATAAAAGCTAAGGGCCGAGTATCCACGGTTGTTCAATTAATTAAATTCCGAGGCAGAATTCTTTTGAGGGGTGGATAGTGTGATAACCAAGTTCCGGTTATACATCTGAGGTAATTATTTGATTATGTGATTAATGGTGTATATTAATCCTTGATCCATGTATTTGTGTATACGTGCTTTGTATGTTCATGCATGGGTATATATTTGAGAATATGTGCCAATGTGTATGCATGCATTGGTTTGTATATATATATATATGTGTGTGTGTATATGTGTATGTGTGTGTATATGTGTATGTGTGTGTGTAGATATGTATATACATGCATGAATTTATAAGTAGTGAATATGCATGTATATGTAAAAGGTGTATATGTGTATATGTGGTTATGTGCATGTACGTGTATCTGTTGTGAGGAAGGGGAAAGAATTTTATATCTTCCATTGCCTATTTAGGCAAGGGGTATTTAAAA